GAGGGAGGGGGGGGGGAGGACCACGTTGCCGGGGAAGACCGCGCGACCGCCCGGCCGTATCTCTTTGCGCCGGGTACGCTGCACAACGCCCGGCCTCGCCCGGGTGTGGGCCGAGATCGGGAAGGTTGCCGCTCAAGTGCTAAGAGAGATAAAGCCCGTCACATAGTTGCAGTCGGTGGCTATTGGTCTTAATTAACCCGGCTGGGGTGCCGTGTTTATGTTGAGGCGTGGCGGCGCGTGGCGGCCCGAGACCTTCCTTCCCCTTCGCGACGTCGCCTCCCGCTCGTTTAGCAGCGGGCCGCCAGACCTGGCGGCCGAGAAGTGCAGCGGCAGCGGGGGCTCCGGGAGGGAGGATGGACCACGAGGATGAGGCTCATCCTTGCGTCCCAGTGAGAGCCGATCTCCGGCGCGCCGTTTTCTGAAAATTCTATGTACCACGCATCGACTTCACAACGTGATTTCGAGCCTCTGGAAAAGAATCGGGATTCGTTGCTTTACATTTAGGCTACTCGTTTTACCAAACTTCGAGATGTTAATTAATGGAACCATCCAGATTCTTTCAGTGTCCCTAGAACGGCCTCAAGGCCTTTCTGTGATTTACAAAACGCGTAAATCTGGCGGTGAGCTGCAGGGACATTATGAAATCGCTATATGTGTTGTGTTGTCGCGAATGTCGCGAAACTTACGAGCCGGAAATTGTATATTGAACCACCTTGGCGACAAATACCGGGTGGCGTTCGATCCCGAATTGCAGCTCTTAAGTACGTGGATTACCCACCGGATTAGCATGTTGCCAACCTGTCTCATTGCCAAACGCTAATCGTCCTTTCCTCTCCACTTCTCCCAGGCAATGCCGCGCCCGCCGAAGGCGTCGCCATGGACAAGGCCGAGGATGCCCCCCAGTGCGAGGACAACTCGGAAGACGCGCTCTTCCCGGGCAGCCTCTTCGACCAGACGCAGCTTCGGCAAGGCGCTGTCATAATTTACTTCATTTTTGCGTTCTACGGCTTCTGCGTGATTGCCATGGTGTGCGAGAATTACTTCCTGCCCACCGTCGAGATCATCTGCGAAGGTACGTAGGAGGGGAGGAGGCTCTACGGAGGAGCGAAGTTGTGTTGTCGTTTTGATCCCCGCAACGTCGATGATGTTCTCAGAGCTGGGCCTGTCACCGGACATCGCGGCCGCCACCTTCATGTCGCTGGCGTCTTCCGCCCCCGAGCTGTTCGTCAACGTGGTGACCACCTTCCTGACCAAGAGCACCATGGGCGTGGGGACCACAGTGGGAAGCGCTACCTTCAACGTGCTGGGCCTCGCCTCCTTCATCGGGCTGGCCTCGCGGGCGGTGAGTGTCGCCTGTGTTGCCCAGGGCCGTACGGCCTGGCCGCCCGGCCGAGCCCCTCTGAGCGCCGGGAGCGCAGGCAACACAATTGACACGCGCGCCCGTCGTGTTGCAGCCCATCGAGATCCGGGCCGGCCCCGTGGTGCGGGACTCGCTGCTGTACGTGTCCGCCATCGCCATCACGACGTGCGTGGTCATCGACGGCGTGGTGCAGTGGTACGAGGCTCTGGCCATGGTGATGTGCTCGCTCGCCTACATGCTCTTCATGTTCTCGCACCACTGGCTGGCGCGCTGGGCGCGCTCGCTCATCTCGCGCTCAGACTCCACCGTCGTGCTGACCACGAGCAAGGCTGGCGCTGGGGTGCGCGACGAGGAGATTGCTTCGGTGGGCTCGGACTCGACAGCGGACGTGGCCGTCGTGATAAAGTCGGCACCCGGGGACGCGGCGTTCGCGCCGACCCTGTCCGAGACGAAAGGGGACCCTGCGCTCGCGCCCCAGCTCAGCATCACCGACGAAGGTGCGCAGATGCGGACACTTCTACAACATTTTTTTATTTTCTTCTTTTCGTCATCTTTGTTCATTTTAGCGGTACGGGCGCGCCGGTGCCGGTCGGCCCGCGCCGGGGCCCCTTTCACTTTCTGCTTGTGGTTTGCAATGCACCGCGAGGCCCCTCAGCCCCACACCCCTCCCCACACCCCTCCCCTCCTTCCACCGACACCATCTCCCACCCTGGGGGAAGCCTAGCCGTAAGGCAGCGTATCATGACGCCTGTCACGCCGCCATAGACTCCTCTGCTTTATGATCCGGGCCGGTGAGGTGCGTCGCCTTTTTGTCGGAAGCCTGCAGGAGGAGTCTGGCCCAGGTGTTACACTGCACCAGGAGTGTCACCCAGGTGTTACACTGCAGCAGGAGTCTAACCCGGACCCAGGTGTTACACTCCTGCAGACGCGTTATTCCTTCTTCACGCCGCAGGGTCGCAGGGGTGCCTCGCCTGCCTGCGGCGCGCCTCTGAGCGCGTATGGTGCGTGGTGTCCTGGCCTGTGGGCATCGCACTCGCCCTCACCATCATCGACAGCAAGAACCCCAAACTACGGCGCTTCTACATCCTAACCTTTATCCTGTGCGTCGTCTGGATCGCCCTGGCCGCCTACATTGTGTCATGGATGCTGGCCGTCATTGGTGAGCGCAGAATGCTTGACAAAATGCGGCGTAACCAACCGTCGACTTTTTGTTTGATAACATCTATCGATTAATTTTACTTTTTTCGCGCAGGAAACACGCTCGGAATCTCTGACGCAGTCATGGGCATCACGCTGCTGGCTGCCGGAGGCAGCACCCCCGAGGCGGTGAGCGCCATCATCATGTCGAGGAAAGGTATTGCACGTCACAGAGGCCGACCCGGGCCCGACCGGGCCCACGCCCACGCTCTGCACGCTGATGGCTGCCATTCTGTCCTGCAGGTGTCGGGTCGGTGGGCATCGCCAACGGGCTGGGCGCCAACACGCTCAACATGCTGATGAACCTGGGCGCGCCCTGGCTGGTGCGCTCACTGCTCTATCCGGACTCGCCCTGGACTGTGCTCTCCCGCGGCCTCACCTTCGACCTGGCGGCCCTGGTGAGCGCCGTCGTGGTCCTCAACGTCATCCTCCTGACGTCGCGCTACCGCCTCGGCCGTGCTCAGGGCATTTGCACCTTTGGAATCTACCTCCTCTTCATCGTCATGCTCTGCCTCATCGAGCTCAACGTCTTCGGCTGGCTCCCCGTGTTAAACTGCAGCAGCTCGTGAACCTCATAGGCGTAGGCTGGACTTGCAAAGAATGCGTTAGTGTTGGTATTTTTGTTAGCTTTTCTGTTCTATGCCAGTGAGGTGTCATTTTTCTGACAGTTTTGAATTTGAAGAGTAGAAGAATTTAACATAATGGCTATCGTGCGTGTGCGTAAACTGTCGTCGTAACATCGAAAAGCTATGCTAATGATAGCATTTCTATTTATTTATTATTTTTTAAAAAAGCGGCTAGCCTTTTATGACTCAATAGCCCGCTCTTAGCACCTCATGTTTAAGTCAATGTCTGTGATATGCCCTGCAATGTGCAATGTAAAAATAGCACCCTAGGGTATTGGTAATTAGTTTTCTATTAATTCGTCGCGTATATGTTTTGTCTGTCACATCCATCCCCATACCCGTGTCAGAGACACACGTCTCATTACCCGCTTAACATGGGTTGGTAGTTATTGTTTTCATTCATAGAGAACGTTTTAGAATAATTTTTTTGAAGCGCACTTCTACTGTGGACCTGGATGCTCAAAACTCATTTTATAATTGTGAAGCCCGCCCGTGGCAACTGTGAGATGGCGGGTCCACTCAAGACTTGCAAGGGCCTATCTTTCGCACAGTCGAAGCCACACCCGGCCTCGCCACCAGACACGGGACACAGGCTAGTCACGGTGGTAAGGGCCATTGCACTTGGCTGGACACGTGCATTGTGTTGTAATGTAGTCGGAGATGGGTGCGCGGGCGAAGGAATGACGACCGCAATGCCCACGTGGCCAGGCATTTACAGTATGTAGAGAGAATCATATCTTATAAACTCCTGGCTTTCAGTTCTCTGATATGGCTAATTTTAAACTTACATTGTGTAAAATGCGCGCCTGTGGTGAGTGTGTGAGTGTGTGTGAGCGCGCCCGAGTGTGTGAGTGTTACAGTGTGGAGTATGTATATTATGGTGTGTGAAAAGTAAAATTATTTTCCATAGTGTGTTGTACCGGGTGTTTCAGAGCAAACCCCAGTGTTGCGGATTTGCCGAGGGATTTGCCCACTCCCTTCGCCGCCGTTAGGCACCGTAGTCCTGCGGCTCTAGCGTGTATGGAATGCGGCAACATTCTAGAGTCTGCTCTGGCACACTCGGCACCCGTTTTTGAATTGAAGCAGTAATGGATGAACTGAAGGCCTGCTGTAAGTAAAGCTGTGTTTAGTTTGGAACCAAAGTACGAGGTCGTCCTGAACCTGCCTCTTTCATGCTAAGAACAGAACGCAGAGTACAGTGTCGTGCAAGTACACAAAAAAATGCTATGGTAGAACCTTTTCTAGACTTGGTACCCCAATAATTAGAGCACGGCTTCTCCGCGTGCTCGGCAATCCGTTACAAATTTTAGAAATTGCACGGAATCACGGGAAAGAAAATCAGCAGCAATTACTCTTATTATTTTTACCGTGTATAATTAGTCCTTTCATTACTGATTCGGAGGCCCACGTGGCGGCAACTATGCTACAGGATTAAAAATACGTTAATCTGCCGGAAACATGTAAGGCGTCTGTGTACATACTTTTTTAAACAAAATGCTTCATCGGAACTATTTCAGTTCGTCATGTTTTAATGGAATGAATCCTGTACCCGTTGTCCCTGTAGTAACTCAATACAAACGGAGGGAACACACACACATACACACACACAGAGAACACAAGACGTTGCATGACGGGTTAGCCTCGAAGGACTTGGAACAAGTTTGGTTTAGTTTACAGCCCGCCTCGGCCGCGGGCCGCGGGCCCTTTGATTAGATCACCGAGGCTCGGCGCCCTTTGGGCCGAACGGCCGCGTCTCACCTCGGGTGGCCCGGCTGATCAGCCCGGGGCTCCGGGGCTTAGTAGACGACACTAGCCCAGCGTGCGTCTCGTAACGCGGCGGGGGTCGGCCGGCGCAAGGGTCAGCACGCCCGCACCGCACGGCGCTTCTTGTCGGAACTGAAACCCTTAACCCGAACGCGCAGGGCCGTGTTCCAGCGGCGGGGCGCGGCGTGGCGTGGGAGGCGGCCGCATTGTGGTCAGTCCGTGCTGTACGCTTTCCTGAGCAGATCCAGTGAGCTGCAACTTGGCGTGGCGCGGGCGGCACGGCACGGCGCGCGGGGTGCTGCTTGCGGAATGCTTCGTTTGTCTTCCGGTGGCGCACCGTGACAACCGCTGCCGCCACCGGACCGACCTAGCCCCATTGACGGGCCGCCCACGCGTCCAGAGTGTCGTCCGCGTCCAGTCCGGCGCGCGCTTCCGTCGCCCGGGGCGGCGCGGAGCGGGGGCACGCAGTCAGTCGTGTCTTGGCTACCACATCACAATGCAGTCCACACGCACGAACGCAGTCTTCGTCTAGCTGTACTTTGTACTCTATCTTTAGTGTTCGGCTTGTAGAATGTCTGCCCAGTACGGCTTCGGCTGTCTCGACCTGGGTAGCTAAAAGTTTCCCGTTACTGTTGATAAATATTGACGATTACCGTTACAGTTTTGATAAGTCACCGATTGATAAAGTCATGTATCAGTCTGCACTATCGTACACTCTCTTTTGCAGGTCGCGAGGAGAGTCATCATCCATTAGTTATCCTCATTTTTTCACGGAAAAGTGGGGCGGCGTCTGTTTCAGTAATTATTGACGACACCTGACCTTTTACCGGGTTGATGATAATGTTTTGCAGGAAGTAGAGTCACCTTGTCTGGCTTCCAAGCCAAAATATCCCCGCAGCTCTGGAGGAAGCGTGACCCGGCGAGGGGAAGGAGCCCTCCCGCCGCCGCGCTTCCCCTGGTGGCGACCATCCAATCGAATGGGCGATAAACCCCGGCGGCCGATCATTGTTACCAACCCGCCCATCCAACGCACACGGCCCGAAAAGTGGTCATTCGGCACACGGTCGTCTGGAGGTGCGCCAATGAGGGGGAGATCCGACGCGAGGGTCGTTGGTCGTTATCCGCTTCGCGTAACCGCGCAACCGCCCAAAGAAGAGTGCGAGAGAGCGGCGGCGGCGGTCGCGCGCCCCGCAAAGTTTAAACCTCCTGCGCGCGCAGCTGCCGTGCGCCGTCCACGGCAACACACTGGAAGTAGCCGAGTGTTTCGGGCGAGTGAGCCACGTTTGATCCGCGCGCCTCAACCAGCTCACGCGAAGTACTGGACAAGGATGGGCAGGCGGTTGTGCGGGGCGCACTACTCTCGGAAACAGATCGGGCAGTCATCCTATTCTTCATTAGATTCCACCTATTACTGGAGCTCGGCGCCTGTGGGTCTCGGGGTAGGCCACCCCGCAGTACACGCGTGCGTTGCAGCCGAGATGTTGCCTACCCATCAGGCGCCTTGATAGCTCGCCTTGACTCAACCCGGCAGTTTCGTAACGGCGGATGACGGGCGCACTTTCTGGATGATCCCCCTTCGCGGGCAAGTCGCGGCGCCGCGCGCGAGTTCTCCGGGCGCCCTCCTGCGCCTCCCCACCGGCCAGCCCGGCCGCCCGACGCCAGCCGCTCCACGTCTTGGCCCCCGAACAGCTCTCTGCACCGCGCCATGTAATGCCAGGAGTAAACAAGCCATCGATTCATGACCGGAAATGTCAGGCCACCGCCGCTGCACGCCAGCGCGGAGCACGCGCGCCCCGCCCGGCAGACTTGTACGGTACTGAGACCGGAACTTTAGCCCCCCGCTCTCCCCGACCCCCGCCCCGGGCCGGTCAGGGGCCTCGGGGGGATAATTGTTGGGACACAAAACGTCAAAGCGCGCTGTTGCGACAGTGAAACACCAGCAGTACACGCATCGGGGGAAACAGCAAAGTCACACCTGGACTTGGCCGAGAAGGGGGGGGGGGGATGGAGGGAAATGCTAGCCCCTGTAGAGTCTTCACAGCGCACCCTAAAGTACCGCACTCCCGAGTAGGGCTGATGCTGTCCTCGTAGACAGGCAGGCTGGTCGCGCGGCGGGTACAGTAAGTCGCTGCCCTCCTACTGACTCCTCTCCACAGGCGCGCGGCGGGGGCGGCGGGGAGAGACTCTGTTACGCCGGTGGCCCGGAGCCATGGGCGGGGCCGTGAGGTGGGCTCGGGGTGGGCGACGCAGTGGCGACGCGACATGTTGGCGACCTGGGCTGGTTGCGAAGAGATCATGCCACGACACCTCCACGCTCACGCTCCGCTATATTCTTTACCTCTCTTCTCTTGTCCCGGGTGTGGTGTACGTACGTTAGAAGGCGACTGCGTGGTGGTTTTTGCGGTCCGAAATCTTCCCCTTCCCTCAACCCGCGCGCACATTCCGGACGTCTTCCTCTTGCTTCTCCCAGCTCCCCTCCACCGTGCCAAAGTAGAAGGCCTGGTGTGGGTCAGCTCTGGTGGCACCATGTCATTATGAGATCAAAAAGACGCGTGTGGTTGCGGGGGTTGAAGCCGCGTGAGTCATCGGGAACCCAGCCTGCGCGCCCTGCCCCGCCGCGCCGAGGTAACCCTTGCCTCCCCCCTCGCCCGGCGCGCTGTCACGCTCTTCGCCCCCATATTTCCCATTCAACTCCACATTACCCCCCCCCCCCGGGGAGCTCTCTTTCTCTGTCGCGTCAGTGTAGGCAGGAGTGGCTTGTGACTTGACACAGTGTTACCAAACAGCGACGGAAGAGTCCTCCAAATGCAGCGCCACGCCGCACCACGCCCAGCTGCGGCGGAACGGCAGCCTTGTGTCTGCTAGGATGGTGACACCGTGCCCCCTCGAGCGGAGGCATAGGCTGGAAGCGGCGGTTCCAAAGCCCGAGGGTGGCTGCGGCTGCTGCGCCCCCTGGTTCAGGTTCAACCAAGATACACAAAGAGCTGACGTGCCAGATTGAGGGGGCAGCACAGCACGTCAACACTCACCCTGGACGGATCACCCGATCGAATCAGAGTGTGATTCGCAGAAACCCCTTTACCCGTCCGCTGCTGAGCCCGCGCTAACGGGTTTCTACGGCAGTGTTATTGACAAATACCTGGCCGCTGGCCGGGGCCGGTGACAGGCCCGCGCCTCGCGCGCCCGCCGGGCACACCAAACATTGTTTCAGTTGTGCCGTTTGGTTGCTCTTGAAGACATGGCGACGACGATCTCAGATAGTCGCGCGGTGCCCAAGTGGGTCGGGCTGTGACTTTGACCAAGTTTTCTCTCTCCTTCGCCTCGAGCGGAGCAGCAGCTTGGGCAGGCGAGGCGGTCGGGAGGCCCGAGCCGAGAAAACGCCGGTAATCGTCATGAAAAGCATTCGATGGAGATCTAATATGACAGTCGGGGGAAGGGCGGCGTGGGGGTGAGAGGCGCGGGTGGCGGCAGCCGGGCGGTGCGAGGGGGGAGGTGCTCGTGGAAGGGGGCACTGGATGCAGGGCGGTGCGGGGCGGGGCGGGGTGGGGCGCGGCAGGGTGGAGTGCTGCGGGGCTGCTGGTGGGGACTCCAGGAGGGGAGCTCCAGCAGGAGGGAGACGATGACGTCACCCCGGTATAAAACGGCTGCGCAGCGGCCCCCGCGTTTAGTCCGCCGGGTGGCAGTCGGGCCGTGTGTGTGTGCGCGAGTGTTTGTTAGTGTGTGAGTGTGTGTGTGAGTGAGTGTCAGTGCAACGAAGGCGAAATGCGACCCAGTCTGACGTGAGTACCAAGTCTCTAACCTCCCCTATGGGTCGGCGCGCGTGTTGGTGCTTTTGAGTGCGTGAGAGAGTGTGAGCGCGAGCCGGGGACCTGAACGCCAGGGTCCGTTCAGAGATCCGTCACCAGGCCAGACCACCTTTCATATCCTCGCCGCGACGAAGCCGACGGTAGCACACCATCCAATGCAGGACCAGGTCCTGCCGACTGATTCCGCAAAGCGTTCAGTCATGCCTTCTCGCTATCCCCCCCCCCCCTCTCGATCTATCTCCCTCCCTTCGAGTGGCGGCGACCCATTAGTGCGACAGCCCTCTGGGCTTGGTGACGGTGACCCCCGGCGCCAGTCCTCGTCGCCGCACCCGCGCCGCCGCCAGGGCACAGCCCGGCCCGGGCCGCATTGCATAACCGCTCCCGTTCAGGTGGCGAGTCGAGAGAAGAGTGATATAAGGTGGCCGGGCCTGCCCTGCTGACCGAGGTATTTTTAGCCACAGCAGCAGGCGCCCACGATGTCGGCGCCCACGATGTGGGCGCCCTCTCCCCGCTCCTCCCCTCCGCACCCACCTGCCTTACGATCCTCCGCGGTTCCCTGCAGTTCGCATTCCCTTCCTTTCACGTTTCTCCTGCACCTTCCCGTCGTCATTCTCTTTCCTCCCTGCTTCCTCCTACTCTTCTTGCTCCCCCCCCTCCTCCACCACCCCCTCTACCGCGCGCCCCGCCACTCCCGGCCAGCGCCCCAAAGGGCAGTGTCCTGGTGCCCCCTCCGTCATGATTGTCGCTTCCAGCTATAGGACGACGCTACTCGCCTCACGAAGGCGCGGGCGGCGGCAGACTCCGTGCTCGGCGCAAGCTTGGCTCGGGACTCTCGGCGTGCCTGGGGCCGGGCCCCGGCGCGTTGCAGGCAGCGGACCCGTTGCATAACTCCCCAACCCGACACGACCCGACCCGGGCCGGGCCGACCCGAAGCTTAGCACCGCGCTGCCCGAGGCGACCCCGCGGGGACCAGCGGGGACCAGAGCGGGGACAGGGGGAAAATGATCTAAAGCAACCAGTGTTGCCATCGGTTGCCGTCTTGCGGCGCGTTATTCCTCCGCGAGCTGAAGAAATGTTTCGTGTCGACGGCACGTTAGGGAGAGCCGGGGAGAGCGCCGCCGCCGTGAGCGATTGAGGAGCGGGAGCCGATGAGGCGAGAGCGGGGAGACGACGCTCCCGCAGCGCCGGGGTGTGCGGCGGGTCTGCCCGCCCACAGGGGCCGGCCAGCCCACCCGGGGCAGCCCAGCGCGCCACGGCTGGCGGAGGGGTTGCGACATGCCGTCTTCAGCAGTGCATTTTGACGAGCGCTGCAGGGCCCAGCTGCCCCTCTCTGTGTCACATTATGAGCAGGCTGTTCCCCTCCTGCTCGATCACCGAGCTCGTTCCCGTCAGCGTTTCGTCAACTCCCCCGTGGACGACACCACCCTCCTGCGCGGGTGCATCCTGGAGCCCGCTTCCTTGCCGCCACGCCCGCGGTGCTCGACTAGCCGGCCTCGCCGCGGGGTCCGGGCCGGGCCGGGCGCGCAGCATGGCAGCGCGCCAACCCTCTCGGACGGAATGTGTCGCGACCACTCGGGGCGGTCACGCGTCTAGAGGCTGAGTGGTGCAGACCGGACCGGAGCGCGCACTGACGTGGCCAGTCCAGCCCGCGGCACCGTTGGCCGGCCGCGACAAACAAAGAGTTGGGGGGCGCTTTGCCACAACTTCCGCGACTTAAACGGACTCTTTGCCTTTGGGCCACACACCATTTTCCAATTAATTTTCTTTCGGCTATGGCTGACGCGGTCCTCGGGATTTCAAATTCCAACCCTACGCGACACACGTGGGGCACCTGCACGCCCGGAGGCCGCAGCCCCTGAGCATGCAGTACTGTTCCGGGCCGTTGGCTCGTGCGTCACTAACCCACATGTGTTTGTGAGTACCCGCTCGCACATGCTCCGGGGCGAGTCCACCTTCCGCCGGCCGAGCCCAAACCGAACCGATCGGGCCGGGCCGGGCCGGGCGCGCTGACATGGACCGGCCGGCTTACTCTTTGGCCCGCCGTGGCTCGCCTGCCCGCCGGCCGGCCGGCCAGTCCGCCCCGTCCGCCCTCATTCCCCCAAGGAGACCCGGTCGCAACACGCAACACGGGGCGAGCACGGGACGGGGCTGCCGGGCGGCCGGGGCGGGCGGCGGGCGGCCCATGAGGCGACATGCTTGGGCCGGCCAGCCCGCCTGAACACAACGGCCAGCGCTGCACGCGCTGTAAGCGGCCCTGTAAGAGTGAGACGTTGTCGTGCCGCGGCAGCAGGGTGACAAGGACACTAGTGCCGCGCTGCCGCGCCGAGCACAAACAAGTCCCCCGTCCCGCCCGGCACCCCGACGACGAAACACCGAGGCGAGAAGTCGCCCTGGGTGCCACGCCCCGTCTTTGGCTCTGCCCTTGAGAACTCGACCACTCCCCCGGCCGGCACTGTCCAGCGTCCCAATCAAGTCGAAGCGCCTCCCTCCCCTCCCCTACAGGCCCGCCGGAAACTCGCGCGCCCTTGAGTGTGGCGCTGGGGATTCTGCTAAGTGGCGTGCAGCCCGTAGCGTGGTGTGGTCGACCCCTCGACCCCTCGATCTTTCCTCACGACCCCGATTCACAAAATGTCACTGGGTTCCCTCGGGGCGCTGGGTGGGGGGCAGGGCCCCAGGGTGTCGCCCCCTGCCTGTCCACACTCGGCTGGCGGAAGATGGTATGGCCCGTGGCTGTTGACCTTTGAGTGGCCAGGGCTGAGCCAGTCCAGTATAGATCCAAGATAGAGCCCGGACAGAGCGTCGACAGAGGCAGGGTAGAGCCCGGGCAGAACCTCGATCCACGGCGCGCGTCCCGGGACCCCACCCAGCCCGGTCGGAACCCTGCTGCACCGGGATGTCGCAAGGAATGCCCCGAGATGCCTAAACTGCTCAAAGCCACAGAGTCGCACACAAAAAGGCTCAAAGAGTTAATTTTTGTACATTTTTGTTCCAGAGTTGTCGTCCTTTTGGGCGTGGCCCTGGCCGTCCAGTGCGCCCCGGCCGGTGACGCCAGTGACGAGTACGCCGAATACGAAGAGGAGCAGGAGGCCGCCGCCCCCGCCGGGGCCAAGCCCGCCGCACCAGCCCGCCACGCCGCGCTGCCGGCCGCCTCCCGGGGCAGGGCGCCCAACCCGCTCGCCCCCAGGCCGCCCCCGGCAGCCGCCAAGGCCGCGGCCCCCGCCAAGGCTGCCGCTGCCCAGCCGGTGAGTTGAGTGAACTCGACTCGTATGGCCTCGGCAAGGCCACCGAACGCTTGGGCCATCCGCGGGCGCGGGGAAGGGGCAGAGGAACGGGGAAGAGGCTTTTGAAGCACCAGGCCTACCGGGCCTAGGTTGGGTGACCTTGGCCTAGATTATCACATCGAATCTGAAGGGCCTCTTGCACGAGTGGTTCGGGACGGGGGGACGACATTGGATGTTGGATGGACTCTAGGCCCACGTTGGTTTCATTTATTATGAATAGTTATTAACCCAATATTTTCTAAATGTAACAATTTTTTATTAAACAATAGCAGCCTCCACTTTCGTCGGTCGCTGACAATCTTTTGACCAGCAGCCACCACAACCCGCTCCTGCCGAGGAGGCCGCAGAGGGTGACTACGCCGAAGAGGAGGGCGCTGAGGGCGGCGAGGGCGGCGACGCTTCCTCCACGACCACCGAGGCCACCAAGGGCAAGCGCGTCGGGAACGGCGTGCTGCGCCCCTTCCGCTCCAACCAGGACCTGATCGCCGCCCTGAAGAGGCGCCGTCAGCTCGCCGCCGACGGCAAGGGCCCCATCATCGCGCTGCACACCACCTCCACCACCACCCCCCGCCCGGAACCAGTGATCGGTGAGTGCGGGTCGAGCGGCGCTTCGGTCCTGTTCAAGTCCTAGTCAGTTTTATTTTCATTTTTAACGCCGTCCTCTCGTTCCAGTAGCCAAGAAGCCATCTAACGGTCGCGCCCAGGCCAGCTCCAACCCCTACTCGGTCAGCAACAACAACAGCAAGCGCAAGTTCAGCGGGTCCGAGTCGGGCAGCGCGGCGAGCTCGCCCAACACGACGCCCCGCCCGCCCGCGCCCTCCGCCCGCAAGCAGTTCGGAGGCTCCCCGCCCGCGCTCAGGCCCCAGAAGAGCGCCACGGCCGCCGCCACCACCGCGGCACCCGCCAGCGACGCGGCCGACGGCGCCAGCGACAGAGCGCGCGCATCTTTTGGCAGGAGTCGACGGCTGTGAAAGCAGCGAGTGACTGATGACTGAGTTAGAGTGCTGTGCGCCCGAATGAATGCGTGACTGAGTGAATGAAGGCTTGAATGTTCTTGTGACCGGTGTGTTAACCATGTCATGAACTGAAGATGGAACCTCGCGTTCGCGTCACAGTGAATCGACCTTCAGCTGAGCCCCATCCCGCCCCAAGCCCCGGGCCGGGACGGCTCGGCTAGTCCAGTCTGCACACGGCTGCGCTGCGGCTGGCGCGCCGGCTGGCCTCGATTCACTCCCCCCACTCCTCCCCCTTCTCTTCTCTGCCTCCCCTTTCTCCATCCGCCGCGCTACGCGACGCCACTTTTACGCGAACTTTGCGCGAACTTTGCGCTCGAACATCGCGTAATTCAGTCGTCGATCGTGCGCGACGTGACGGAGCCGGCGGAGCCCCTGCTGGCCCCGAAGGTGAACATCACCATACTGCACCCCGCCCCGGCCCGGCTGGGCCCTGGGGACGGCACGAACCCTTACGCGACGAATCGCCGCCGAGGGACGGCACGGCTCAGCGCGCGCCCTCCGTTTTGCCTTTCTGTTATGTGTTCGCTTACTGTTTATAGCTGGGTAGGAGAAAGAGAAATATCCGCATGGTGAGGCTGTGTTTGCTTTTTTTTTCTCTATCGTCTATGGAGCCTTTCCGCTCCAACGACGATTTGCCACTGCCAGTAGTGAGGCCTTCCGTATGGGGATCAGCGCGTCTGTAACGACTTGACTACCACTTCTGATGTATCCGATACGTCGGTGTATAAATGTAAATAATTTTAATGATGTTGAAAATATGTGTTGGATGAAAAAAATGGGATTACATCGATGCGCACATCTTCTTACAGACCTGCTCGATCCTAGCCGCTGCTAAAAAATCATGTCAACTAGTCCCAGCAGCGCACAGTTTTTCAAACCATTTCACTTGAGTGTTCTCAACTGTGATAATAAAAACAACAAATTCGAAAAAGAAAAAAATACATAAATAAAAAATCAGAAAAAAAGAGTAAAATGTTTTCTGTAAATTCTTTTAACCGTTAGCAAATTTTTCCCCTCACCAAGATTGAGGAAGAAGCGCCCACGCCTAATGCGCGGTTTCAACATTAAACTGCGGGCCTAACGGTTAGAAATGTCGATTAGTGTAGCGCCACACCTCTTGGCGCCACTCTGCATAACAACTCCCGACACCTGCCACACCTCTCCCCGCGCCGCTGTTGGCAGCGTAAGATAAGGACAGTTTGTACATGCTGTTCTCGCGGCTACAGACTTATTAATATTATCAAGCCTTGATGAGGCAGAATAATTGCTTGACTAGTGCCGCGTCTATTGGTGACTGTGTCGTGTCATGTCTCTTTTACTCGAAACGGAAAGTGAGTAGTATCTCGGGTTCAAAATGGACAAGTCACGAAACGGTGACGAAAAGTTGTCTTGGATAAAAAGTATGAAGAAAAACAATGAGAGCTTTTAACAGTGTGCTTTGCGAAGCGTCCAGGGACATTCTGATTAGAGAGGCTTCCTCTGCATAATTGCAGGTTCCTGAAAAAAAAGGAAAAGAAAAAAAAAGTACGAGTGCGAATTGTTAGTTGATAAGTTGAATTATTCATGGAGGGTGGTTATCAAGAAACGGAAAGTAAACCGACGATAGGAAAACAACTTAATGAAATCAGAAGTACCCCTTTCTCACTTTCTCGTACTCCTTTTATCCACAGTAGCCATTCCTATAAATGAGATATTGTAACATTCACTGGCTGCTCCCTAATGGATGTTATGTAATGAAACAGAAAATACAATATACTATTAGATTGTAATAGTTTTGTGAGGGTTTTAATACTGATGAAATGTATGACAGTTAGACCATGAGGGGACTGCCGGGCTGGTGTGGGTGAGGCTAAAGTCAAATGGGTTGCCTATAGACTGTTTGTCGGGCGCAGAGTGCTCTCTCAGCTGTCCGGCAGAGCTTCGAACTTTACCTGGTAGAGGGCGGTGCGAGCGATGTTGTCCTCAGTCACTCTTGAGCTCCAGCTTCCTTACGCGTCATCGTAAAATGCGGAATTGTTATTGCTCTCTGCCTTTGCCAAGATCTCGTCTCTACATATGCCCTTCAGAGACTATAAGTAAGAACTATAAATAATGATTAAACCTCAAACGACTGCCGGTGCAAATATTGGTGTGCTGTTCCAAGACGAGTGAGCGACCCATTCATAACCTCTCGTCTCTCTCGTGACAGCGGGACCCGGCGGCGGGACCAACGGGACCATTTCCCATTGTTCACACCTTCTCGTTCTTGTTGATGACCGAAGAATGGCGATCAGGGTTCTGGAAGGTATGTATTTTACCTACAAACAACTTCTCAGACAATTTCGCCTATAACCCCAAACTGTTATGAAGAAAGTGACGGCGGTAACAGATGATTGGTGATGGGGAGCGTCGAGGGGTGGATTACTCCCCTGCTCCTCATTCTGCCCAATCAAACTTATTCAAACCAATTCAAATTAATTCAACACAATAATTCAGAAATAATTCAAACCAATTCTAAAAGAATTCATGCTAATTCAGTGAAATAAAATCGCAATAATTCAAACCGATTCAAAAACCAATTCGACCAATTCAATCCAATTCAAATTCAATTCAAGTCAATTCAAATCCAATTCATGAAATGTGTACACCTAATTCAGGAGTTATCTACCCCTCGGTAGCGTAGATTGCTCGATTAGAGTTCCACCCTCAGATTTTGCCAGTGAACGTAGTTTGGTGTCTCGGGTTTCAGGTTGATGCCAAAGAGTGTATCCGAATTGTCAATCGTATCGTAGCTCGGGCTCGGGGTCCAGAACCAGAACGCGCAGCGCTCTGGCTAGACTTGCACCCCATCACGGTCGTCACCGTCGCCATCACGGTCGGCGCCGCGGCTGTTATTGGCGCACGCCGGCCGACGCGTTGCCAAACGGAACTCCTCGGCGCGCGCGGCGAGGCGGGCTCGCGATTTGAAAGAGAAACGAGGAAGGAGAAAAGGAGAGACGGAGAAGAATAAGAGAGTGTGCGGTGATGCGATGCAATATGCGATGGAATGCGACCGATACACATGGCGCCGTGTTGTTGTCGGCGGGTCCAGATGGTAACCGGTCCGTGCCGTACGCGGCTCACCTCACGGACGGGGCTCACCCCACGGGCGGTAGCCCCGCGCCGGGCCACGCCGCGCCCCCGCCCCCGCTCGAACTTCCGCCGCCATTGTTCGCCACCCCGTGGTCGGTATGGTCCCCTCCGCTGGCTCCGGTGGAGCACGTTGGGCTGCCTACCGGGCGGGCGGGGCAGGCCGAGGCCCGGCGGGCCGTTGCCCAGGACGGGTCGGGTGGATCTGCTCTCGTCATGGGGCGAGCTCAGCCCAGCGGCGCCCCACGAAAGCCAACTGGATGATGTTGGCCTTCCTCATCCCGCTCTCCCATTTGCACCGGGAGCTACCCCCGCCCTCCCATCTCCTCCTCAGCCTCCTCCCACGGCTACTCGACCCAGACTGTGCAAGAAGCCCTTATCGGGAAATTTATCCCAGTGATCTATTGCCTCACGTACGTCGCCTCGCGACACAAGTCGTGGCGTGGCGTGGCGTGGCGTGGCGTGGCGTGGCTTGGCGTGGCGGGCCGCGGCGGCCAGACCTCGCAGTGCCTCTGTACTGCTTGCAGCCCGTGCAGCCCACAATTACATCGCGCCAGGCTGGCGGCGGGGCGGCGGCGGCTAGCCGTCAGCTGATGGGATGGTTCAATCCCGTGGAAGGTGGGCCTTGGCTCTGCCCCCAGGAGTGCCCAGATGATCTCTCCAGAAGCAGCCGTCGGGGTCGAACCTTCCCGCATACATATATAGGGCAGGCCAAATGCCACGCGACGGGCGAATTTGGCTAAGAAAAATAAGTACCGTTTCGTCCAAACTCACCGAGTAGGTGGCACGGTATACGACTTTTGAAGAGGTGTTTTATTTTTGTTCGTGAAAAGAGGGGGGGGGGGGTGCGGTGGCCGGTGGGGACTCGCCAGCACGGCGCGCCGGGCATCGTACCCGCGGGCGCGTCACTCATGTCGGCCTGCAGGCTCGTCACGGTGGCGAGATGCTTATCGGCCGCAGCGCGCCCTTCTGCGCCCCGCCAGGACTCCCAGCGCACGTTTTATGTGTTAAAAAAACAAAACGGCACAAACTATACGGGCATTCCTCGGCGGGCGTTGCTCGCACCGCACTCGTTTCATGCCAGTGTTGGGCAACCCTGCGTCCCAACTAATGGTCAGGGTAGGGTGACAAGAGGCGCTGAAAATGTTCTTAAGTAGTGTGGACAGCTTAGCTGGCCCCCTGCGCTGTGCGAACAATGCCGTCCCGACAAAAAGAGGCGGAAGGGGGACGGGGATGGGGGCTCTGCTTAAAATAATTGACCTTCCCCGTCTTGGTCTCTTGAAACTCTAAACGTGCGACTCTAAAAGACGTCGTGTGAGGACCCCCGTGGCGCCGTGGGACTGCGTGTGCGCGAGGGAGACGTACAGCGCGTCGGCAGCGCTCTTATGAGCGGGAGCGGGACGGAGAAAGGCTTCCCGATGCCATTCCGCTATCGCTCTTGACCCAGTCCAGTATGGGCGCCGCGGCGGCGGCGGCGCTTCCACGCCTGCCATCTGGAGCAGTCTGCAGCAGCGCGGCTCCGGCTCTGCAATCACTCTGTCTCCCCGGCGCAGCCCCGGCGACCCGAGAGGTCAGAGAGGGAGCACGAGCATGAGGTGCCCTCGCGCCGCGCCCCGCCGCGCCACGCCCCCTCAGCCTCGCTTGCCAACATTTCTTGAGCCCCTGCGCGCGGTATTGTTGACCCCGGCGCGGGTCAGGCGAGCGAAGAATGTCGAGCGAATGAAATGTGGAAGATCGGCCCATTACCGCTTTACGCGGCTCGATGCGCCCCGCCGGGCTCTTAGTCACGCGTCGCCGCCCCGCCGGGGGGAACGCGGAGGCCGGCTGCTGACTAACCGGACCAATCTTACATTATATCGGCCCTCCGCAAGTGTGATTCAGCGACAGGCGGGAATGCCGCATGTCGTGTGTTATGGGTCTTTATGCAACGGTCCAGGCGCCCCGCAAGGACGACGGGCAGCGGGACAAACCGTCTCCGCATCCTGACTCACCGCTGCTTGGGCGTGGCGGGGCCGGGCGGGGCGGGGCCACCCCTGTGGATCGGAGCTGTGCTGTGGCTGACAACCGGACGGATGCCTCGACGCATTCGTGCGTCACGAAAAATTTAGCTTTGTTTGAATTCTTCCCAGAAAGTTAAATATTTCCAAAAACAAAATCAAAATTCAAAAACCCGACAATGTAAAGGCTCTCCCAGTGCCGTGCCCCTGCGCGTCGCGCACAGAAATTTTTTTAGTCCAGGGGACCAAAGTTAAAACCTATTAAGTTGTGTAGACGAAATTTTTATTGCACCGACTAAATAATTTAGTCAACTGAACTTGGTTTTGATTGTTTCGACTATATTTACATGATAGGGGGAAAAGGGGGGATGCGGCACATTGCCTTCCTTTAGAAGTAGCCTTGGGGACTGTTTCAAAGCCAAAATGAGTATTAAATCGGTGTTGATTTCAGGAACTACATTTTGTTTCGTAGGACCCTTTTTTTGTTTGTATTAACTAAATGATTCTCCGGGTGCGCGCGAGGACGGTCGAAGGGATGTTCCCGGGCGACCTTGTCCTGTCCTTGCTCTTCCCCACCAGGAAAGCGAGAGGGCTACCCGACAGGACCAGGGGGCGGGCCCGTCCAAACTGACCCGATCACTTTCCCACGATCCGCAACAACAACAACAACACGACTGGCCGCATT